GGTACAAGTCTGCAGTCTTGGAAACTGTCTCCTGTTTGCATTCCTGCAGTATTTATTGCTGAAAAGCTGCTGTCGCTGTTTCTATGGTCCACCTTCCCTGAAGACTAACAGGGCAAACACGATGGTAAATGTAATACTCAGCACAAAAACATGCATACAAGGTCAGAAAGACAAAGAATTAAAACAGAAGGGAGAAAGACTGACATTGGAGTTCAAGACCTTCTTAATAACAAAAAAGCCAGACTTCTCCCCAAAGTCCGGTAAGATTTCTGGGCGCACGATTTCTTAGAATTTTTCTGCCATTGAAACCTTTAGTTTAATCAAGGCTTGGTCAGGCTCCAGCCTGGACCATTCTCTGTGATCCTGCTCAGAGGAGGATACAATACTAAAATGGCACTCAGTGAGGAAATTTTGCTCTTTACAAACTAGTGGGTATGTGGAGAGAATCCCTGATTAAACCCTACCTCTTTGACACAGTTTTGTAAAAAAAAGTGGAAGTGCCAAGAGTTAGGCTCTCCAGGGAAGTGAATTCCACACACTTTTAATTTTTTAGGAAGCAGATCTCATTCCAGACTCGAGCCGCATTTTCATAGGCTTTGCCACTATGGTAAACATCTGGGAGACATCTGCTGTAAAATGAAGGCTGAAACTGTAAACACTTGTATAATCCAGTAATGTGTACTTGTCTCTGCAGAGTATTGCCACGGAGTAATTTTGTTTCTGAAAAGAAAGCCCTCAACTCTTTCCCCATCCTTAATCCCTTTGAAAGGAAGAACGGGAATCATTCATGAGATCTGCACTGCCTTCAAATAGACTGACAGAGAGGAAAGAGCGCCCACTGTTTCTGGCTTAGAAATCCACTCAGGAGCCCTTTATGGCAAGAGGGGAAGAAATTCCTGTTTGACATTCGCAGGCTGCAAAATTGGCTCTTGAGGGCCTGAACTCCAACACGGTTGTTTGCCAAGAGCAGGAAATATTGTATTGCATTGTAATGCCAGGCACAAGAATTTGCATTTGACCATTGGCTTGTTAGGGCTTGCATATGATACACACGTTTTTGCTGATTATTTCTAAGCAGCCATGGTCAATGATGTTAATTTACCAAGGAGCCTACCATTGCTGCTGATAATGATAGGCAGCTCACCTATCTGCCAGGACTAGGTGGCAACCGTTAGTCTTCGCCCATCTATCTCATGCAGTCTTCATATCTCTTCTGTATCAGTTTAGCTTATTTAAATATAGAGGTGGTTAGCTGTCCTGGAGAAAAACCTTTGCTATCAAACCTACTGGTATCTTGCTGGGTGTTTTTCACTATGTGGTGTTGGTAATTTTTATGTAAAGTTTTCTCTTCTCTCCTTCAATCCCTGGATACCAAATTAGGGAAGATGAAAGGTCTTCATAAGAAATAATTTTGTATGAAGCGTCTTGCTTTCACTTAGGTGAGAGACTGAAATGAGTCCAAAACAACGTTCTGGTTTTTGGCCCTCCCTTTCCAGAAGCCCGAATCCAGATTCTGTGGCTTGCACACAATTGCATTGCTCATGTTATGCTAATGGTCTGTAGTCTTAGGTTCTCGTTTTATCCTTTTTACTTTTGCTAGAGTTTTGGGGGGCTGCCTTGGAATTGCTGCTGTTTGCTGAGGGAATCTTAAGCTGCGTTTATCTTCAGTTCCCAGAAAGAATTGTTTATTATTCATGTTCCAAGAATGGACGATAATGATTATTTCCTCTGAATTTTTGTAACTTTGGCTATTTGTGTGAATTTCAGTGCTGGAAGAGTGTGTGCAGGGTTTAGGCTTCTCTTTTTTTTTTTTTTAAATTTGTGTGGGTGCTAAACCAACAATGTGCTAGGAAATGCTAAATATAGCAAACCTAGGATCATTCTGAAACTCCTGATGAAAGTTTGAAAGTTTGGTATGAAATCCTGGTCCCACTAATGTCTGCTAATTTCATCCTACCATTGTATTTTTGTACTAAGAAGGAAAAACCAGGAGACCTTCAGGACTACATAGGTTAGCCGTTGCTACTAGCGACAATGGCCAAAGCTACAACAGTGGGGAGAATTGTCCCCTAATAGCACAGGCAAAAGCAAGAGCAAATTAGAAAGGAATTGCCAGCCTGGACAGAACTAACATCTCTCAGACTCCTGAAATGTCCTCTATTATCACTATTTTGCTAGTTAGTGAAATGATGCTAACGGGAAAAAATTACATAGTTTGTGAACTTACTGAATTTCATTCAGATTTTTAAAGGTTAATTTAAAGTAGAAAATCTTTTTGTAACCACCGAAGGAAAAGAACAAAATGAAATTACCATTACCCAGGTAACAGGACTAGAAATAGATACGGTATTAGTCAACTTAGCATGTACTCCCTGCAGCTTGAACTCAAATGCAAATCTGTTCTGTTTCGAGCACAGCAGTGGCCTGACTTCCCACTGCTTTGTGTGCACGTTTCCCCGGGGAATAAGCTGTGTAGCGACATAGTTTTGCCAAGCCGTGGGAGCTGAAGCAAGTGACTCATGACTGCAAGACGACAGCATGTGATGCAAGACACGCACAGGACAAACTGCTGAGAGATGCAGTTCATGACTGAGAGGTTTATTCCCACAGCCAGGAAAGGCCTTGTTCTTTTCCAGCTGTTACCATGTTTTATAAAACAAATATACATAGCGTGGCATTTCTGATCCAAAATCTGTATCAAACAATTTCCAAGGTTAAATATTAAAAACCAGGCACAGAAGTGTCTGTGAAATAAAAATATTAAAAGCAATGAAGTAACACCGATTTCTTCACCCTTTCCCCCCAAGTGCCTTAAAAATGAAGCAAAAGCAGAATGAAAACATTTGTATGCATTTCTCTAAAGCTGTTATCATGACCACGTGCCACATCGTGCTGTATTGCACTGTAACTGCTTGCATCTCCTACCTCTTTGCTTGCCAGAGCAGGGTTTCGGTCTGCTGCTAGAAATACATTGGTTGGCAAAGAGGTATGTGCACTTATGCTGCTACCTCTTCAATGCTGGTGAATGGTTATTCAAGGACAAAAAGGGGTAGCTGGGATTAAACTCCGGATAATAATGAGTTATTTTTCCCCAATATTAGGTAGTAGATACTAAGTAAGTGCAATAGGACTGGATCCTGAGGGCGCAAGCATTAGCATTAGCATAGCAGGACAAAACTGCAAGCTGATCCTAAGCACTGTAGCTCCCTTAGTCAACCAAAGGTGGCCTTCTGCTTCCTTTTCACTAACTTCAACCATTTTGTTAAATGGACGCTGGAACTAAAATGTGCAGACATCAGCACCAACCAAAATACCTGTGTACAGTTACTGGGAATTGTACCAGTATAAGGGGTGTTTTACCTTAGAATTTCACAGCAGAGTGGTCTTGTGTTTTTTTAAAAAGAGGTGTGGTTTTAGGTTTCTGAAGGAGATGAGGACCAAGAATGCCATGCTATACAGTGCTGTTCAACTGTGACAACTTGTGACAGTGATGCAGCATTTTAAAAAGAACTTTGTTATCCCTGGCCTGTCTCTCAGCTTGACACCCCACCCCTTGCGTGTTTTTTGTAGGAGCAGTTCCATTTACTTCAGTAAAACAATTGACGTGAAGATTGCAAGACTGGACCTGACATTTGGAGGCTGACACATTGCATGATCTCCTCCCTGGGGCCCCATTTTGCAAAAATGCTCAGAATATATGGAGCTTTGGGAAGTCAGTGATAGAGAGCAGGTTCAAGTCAGAAGTGTAAAAGAATGGACAGCCCACTGTTAGTCTTCTGATCATGTCATCTCTTAAATATATAAAATGACTTTTCTTTTTTTTTTAAATGGCCACAACGCCAGGCTACTCTGGGGTGTGGGAAAGATTGTATAGGTCCTTGTTCTGCAAGTTTCAAAGGCCATGAGAGAAGAGAGCACCCTGCAGTCTGCATCATTGGATCTGGAGTACAGAATTACACATACCACTTTCATTATTTACTGCCTGTTATGAGGACTTTCTCTCCATTCTGTTTAAAGAAGTTGGGCATCTATGAGTACCATGCTCTGCATGATAATCATTAGTGGAGTCAATATTGATTTAAGCCCAACAATTTTTCTTCAGGCTGTTTTTTCACCAAAGCTGAGAGCATGTCAACCTTGCTAGTTTGCAGTTCTATTTCACACTAGGTTTTCGGTAACAGCACCGATGGGTGCTCTTTTTGTACTAGAGACAGCAGCCCCACCTGCCTGTCAAAGGGTTTAGAATGGCCTTTCTAATTCCCCCATGCAGAACAGCTTTGATGGCAAGATCAGTTTTCAATAATCTGCTTTCTTTTGCTGAGAAAATGGCTCCTTCTCTGCCATTATTGACAATTCCTGACAAAGTTAATAATTCTAATACAGGCCAAGTGAAAATTTGGTGTGAAACGAGAGTAACACCCCCCTCCTACATCAAATGCTGCTAATACTTTATTACTACTATTACAATCATAAATTGGTACTTTACAATCTGTCTTAGCAAACATTCAACTGACCAGCAAAAATCAGTATCTTAAATACAGATGGTCTTCTGATTGGGGAATGTGCAATTATTACTCTCTGCTGGTCCAATTCTGCCACCTTGAAGACTTGTTGAGAAAAGGAGAGGCTATTCATATGACTTTTACATAACCTTGACCTTTTAGTTTCTGTCTATGCCTATGATGATTTAGAGAATCCATATACAATTTACAAAATCTGATTTGAGACCCTCTCTTTATGCATCTTTTATCAAGCCGAGTGTGTCATATCCTTGGCAGCCCCATATCTTTTCTATTGTGCTTATATAGAAAATCTGGACTTCAGGAGATCTTGGTAGTTAACGCAGTCTGTCCCCCATTCCAAGACAAACTTAAATACAGCTATCGATGTTTAGAAAAACATTTCTTCCACTAGTTATGAAAAACAAACAAACTGAAGATAAAAACCTCTTCAATCTTCCAAAGCAATCTCTTCCTGTGCTTTTCATAATCCTTTGCATAATGGCGGTAAGCCCTCCATTATGGACATCAGTTTATTCCCTTCTGCTCCTTCATAGCTGTGTGTTTTATGTATTTGTAGGCTGATATTAGAATTGAGCTTTCATTAAGCTAAAGAAACCACTTCCTCCTAGGTTGTGTCCCCTGAGCCTTGGATCCTTCTTACGGCCTCTCACATTGTTGCATTGTTTCATTTTGAATGAAATGCCATTCCAAAAACTTGGCAGTACTCCACCAGAGACCCTACCAGTGCTGAATATGCTGCAAAGATTACTCCATATGTCTTGCAGACTATACTGTTGTTTATGCAGTCCAAAAGGTGATCAGCTTTATTGCAATATTGTGACATTGTTGACCCATGTTAAGCTTGTTATTCACTGTAATCTCACGATTTCTTCATGCATAGCGAGCTGGAATTCCAAAGGGTAACAACACAGAGCTAGGAAGGCAGCAGCCTGTGCAACAAATGGCCCATATAGACGTTTGTCCTGTCTGCCCGGGAGCAAAGAGGGTAGATAAAGAAAGATGTTTATCTTTCTGGGTTGCTGGCTGGCCAACTGTCACGTGTATTACTGCCTCAGGTCTGCCACGGGGTGTATTGCTTTTTGGTGCACTGACAGGCCGAGCAGAGGAGTGGGGGAGATGTGAGAAGGATTTAGGGGAGTTGGAGAAGGAGAGCATAGGAGGAACAAGGAACATTTATGGAAGAAACATTGCCAGTTGTTGATAAACTGTGGTCTTTCTGACTATCCTCTCTCTTGATCAAATTATGATAATCTTCTACTCAAAATTCATGATTTCCAGAAAATATTCTGCTCTGACCAAGGAGCACTGGTCTGAGAGGTCAGGATACCTTACAATATAAATCATAAAACTCCATGCACAGTCCAGTGACAAGGTCAGGAGCTTGAGAAGGTATCATCCCAGTAGTACTACAGCAGCAGCTGTAGTAGGAAGCTTAGGAGAGCTTCTCTATTGCCTACATTTGATCTAACCTGCCCTGCCTTTTTCTTTTTTCCTCATGAAGCCCTTTGTCAAACATTGAATGCTTATGAAACCCTTTGTCAAACATTGAATGGTTATTTGCTCTTTGAATAGTCCTAGTAACCCCCAGATTTGGAGGAGCACCTGGGCGTTAATTTTTTTCAAACAGAATAGGCTTGAGAGGGATAGCATAGCAGAATGCATGATGACTATGAAAAGTCTAGCTTCACTTTTTTCTGAGACACACACTCTTTTTTATGAGGAAGGGGCCTGACTTCTTAAAGAACAAATAGGGCAAAGTCTAAAAAAACTGCTTAGAAACTGGATGCTCACATTTAGATGAGCTGCTTTCTGGAGGGGAAGTAGAATTGTTTTTTGGCCTTTGTTTTGCTTGTGGCAACTTTTTTGGTGTACAGACATCTAGGTTCCCCCACGTTTTGAAAAATGTTGGGACTTGCTACTGTTGAGTCACCCCCTTGCTTACTTTTGGTTGTGTATGCAGGTTCTTCTCCTTAGTCCATGAAAAAGACTTCAATTTTTACAGCTTAGAGTATAAAGGGAGGCTTCAGATGTTCCTCTGGGGCAAGCATAAAGATTGCTAGGAGTACTTGCCTTTGTTGGACCTTTCAGAATATTAGGAAGAAGGTAGCAATCCTGCATAGAATGGGTTTCTCCACTTGCTTGGAGAAACAGCATGTGTTCCCCTGTAACAAATACTCTCACTCCCAGCAGCTGCAGAGGAAGGCAGAGCTCTGCGTTTGCACCCTCCCTGCCTTCCTACAAAGGGCCTCAGCATTATCGCTTTTGCAGACCTTATCGCTCTCTACAACTACCTGAAAGGAGGTTGTAGCAGAGAGGTGGGTGTCGGTCTCTTCTCCCAAGTAACAAATGATAGGACAAGAGGAAACGGCCTCAAGTTGTGCCAGGGGAGGTTTAGATTGGGTATGAGGAAAAATTTCTTCACCGAAAGGGTTGTCAAGCGTTGGAACAGGCTGCCCAGGGAAGTGGTTGAGTCCCCATCCCTGGAGGTATTTAAAAGACGTGTAGACGTGGTGCTTAGGGACATGGTTTAGTGGTGGACTTGGCAGTGCTAGGTTAACGGTTGGACTTGATGATCTTAAAAGTCTTTTCCAACCTAAACAATTATATGATTCTATGATTGCTACCCATGCTGTAGTTTCCTCGCTCAGGTGTATCAGCTGTGGTCTGCAACGTGAGACTTCCTTGAGCCTATTCCTCGCTTTGCCTATGTGGTCTACTAGGTGCAGGAGTAGTGGCTGTACAAAACTTAAGGGCAGGCATTAATAAACATATAAGGTGTGCTTTCCTTATTGGGGAAGGAACTTGCTCCAGTGAGAATGTCGGACGTGCTTGGGCAATTTTCAGAAAGAACAGCTGTAAATGCCAGAACACTTCCTGGCATCTTCCTTGGACAGTGTATCATTATCAGGAAGGGAAAGACACAGTTGGTGTAGGCACTACAGAGACAAACCATTAATGTCACTGCACAACTGTCTTAACTGAGGCCCAGCCTCACCTGACAACGCTGTGCAATCCACAAGATAGATCTTCTTGAGTCATCTCCAAAAGGAGCATATGCCAGTATGTATGTATCATATGCTTCCAAGGTCAAAGTGGAGCGTTAAGCCCTGTTGCTGAGGAACAGAGGAAAAGCAGGAAAAATGACAACATCTGTATTCCAGCAATTGCCCTCCAAGCTAGAGGAAGGCCAAAGGAACTTTATTCTTCAGTGTATCAAGAGATACGGAAAAACACAGGATAATAGCACTTCAGCATTTATTGCATTGTGTTTGTGGAGGCTTTAAGAGCAGCAAAATGCAGGCACAGATGCCTTCTGTTCCAAATAATGCGCAGTAGCCACTCCCTTGAAAAGCAAAGGACACATGCAGCAATTGCTATTAAATGAAAAACAGTGGTTGGACTTCAGGCTGAATGAACAAGTTGTAAGCAGGTTTCATGTTAACTGCTTGCAGTGTGTATCTTGTACAGGCATGTATTACAGAACAGGCATCGGACGTGCATCACGGGAGCGGCGCATGGATGTGGCATATGGCTTACTGCATGTGTACGTTTTTCTTTATAGTGTGCGCATTCTGTACTCGCTTATTATGATGAGTGTCAAACATAAACAGGACTGGAAACTTCTCTACGGTTGCCTAGCCTTTTCCATGTGAGACCTTATTTTTAGTTGTTTATAAATTTGCCAGCCCTTGAGTGTTTTCAGAGACATTTTCTGTCTCAGGTTCATTTTGGGATAAGAGGAGAGAGGGCAGAGGGAAAGAATATAAGCTAGAACAATTGAGTCATGTCTGGAAATGAGTCTTGCAGAAGATACATAATATCCCCCCCCCCCTTTTTTTGCAACCTGTCTTTTGAAAGATGATGACATCTTAAGCTCTGGAACCCTGGACTTCTTATTTGGGGGAAGACAATGATTTCATGTCAAGAATGTGCATTTTGCTCAACTTATGAAAAGCAGCCCCAAATGTAACCCGGTTCTGTTAGCCTTTGTGAGGAAGGGAAAAAATAAAAGTCATTGTCTATGCTCTGCTAAGATTTGCTTTAAATTCTTCAAAGTTTTGTCTTCTTTAAAGTAGATTTGACCTGCAGCTGCCAGGCTGGACTGTATCCTGTCTGGTCTTAGCACTGCAAATAGAAGCAGGGAGCCTTGCCTTTTCCTCCCTTCTGAGTTCAGAAAACGTCAACCTTGATCAGGTTGCCTGATTTGGACCAGAGCAAGACATGTGTTGGTGGGAAGAGTGCAAGTGGGAATGCGTCAAGGAGTTTGAAGCAGGAGAGGAAGGTGAGACAAAATGACACTGTTAAGAGTGATCACTGGAAACTGAGACTAGATAGTCAAGGACATGGACCTGAGAAATATGGAAAGAAAGAAGGAAAAGATGGTGGAGTTGCTGGGGATAGATGATGGGAGTTATTGAGGAGGGAAACAGAATAGCTCAAGTCAGAGGAAAAATAAGAGGGAAGACTGGCACAAAATGCGAGGAATACGAAAGAGGTAACAGACCTGGCAAGCAGCTTTGGCTCTAAGAATACTAAGATGGCGAGAGGAGGAAAATTAGGACTTGGGACCCTGCAGGTTGAGGGATGTGGCAAGTGACTCAGTGGAGGAAAGCAGGCAAGGAGCCTGGAGGTGGAGAATGGAGACAGGTGACCAGAAACTGAGGAAGATCACATCCCAATATATACCTCTGTCTAATAATTCTGGCTTACCCTGCCATCCAGACCTGTGTCCACTCAAGATAACCTCCTCACGTGACATGCTGTTTTGTAATGTTTTCCCAGACTGCTGGATCTGGAGCATACATGGTGCAGATCATTCCCAGCATGCATGGTGCAGATCATTCATTGTTGATTCATACTCCAAGGACATGCACCAATTTCTACAATTCAAGAAAAGACCTACATTTATAGGTGATGGAGAAACTGCTAGTAGTAAGGCCAGCCTAGAACAAGCCCTAAGTTTTGCAACTGGAGTGGCGACAGAAAAGAGAACAGTATGTTCCCTCATTTTCCAACAGATTACTTATGATGAGGAAAATACGCTTTCATGTTGCTGAGAAATAATCACACTATTTCAAGAGTCAATTTAAAGCTATCCACTAAGAAGAACAAGAGGCATCGGGTGTGGCTTCTTGTTGTGGAAGGATCTTTGACTGAACCTGTGACAGTCAATAATGACAAATGGCCAGTGGAAGATGAAATTCCCACACACGTTATGAAGTCCTATCTCAGCAGTCTTGATGTATTGTAGCACTTGCCAGCCAACACATCTTCTTTTACTCTTTGGCAGCCCTCCGCAGGGTTTTTTTTTGTGTCAATAACATGCAATTGCACTCACTTCGAAACCTGACTGTGAGGGCAGTGCTCTGTCAGGGCGCCTGCAGCTCGGCGCGGCATGCCACTGCAGGGCATTGCATGGGGCTGCCTGTGGCGTCCATGGCTTTGCAGGGCTTTCTGGACACTTGAGGAAGGGAAGCTGTAGC